AAAAACTGGCAAATGTATTTATGCATTGATTGAATTTTACTAAAAAATATTGTTGTCCAAATAAAGATAACAATTACAACATTGGTGGCAGCGTACTAAATTTTTTTTTTTAAGAAAGTTTTAATAATCTACGAGACCATTTACTTGGCACGCATACATATTAAGTAAAAAAGTGTTACTGTCCATATTTTATAATATTTGCATTGGTTACACATTAAAAATGAACTGAACAAATAAAAAGGGACACTTCAACAAAAGCTAAAAGGAATGAAAAGTACAGTTGGTGAGATTACTTTAGCTTATAGTATATATTTAAGTAGATTTATATTCAACAAGGATAAATATAAATGCAAGTTGAAGAAACACATTATAGTATATTAAAACATACAACAAGGATAAATATAAATGCAAGTTGAAGAAAAACATTATAGTAAATTAAAATATACAACAAGGATAAATATAAATCCAAGTTGAAATAATATAGTAAATGAGTATACGTCAACAAGGATAAACTCTAATCCAAATTGAATCTTAAATTAGACAAATTTATAAGTCAAATATTAAATAAGGATAAAATAGAATCCAAGTTGGGCTAAATAATAATGAATACCTTATTCAACAAGGATAAACTTTAATCCAAACTGTGTTTTAAATTTAGGAGTCTATTTTCAGCAAGGATAAATTTGAATCCAAGTTGATTATTAAATTAAATAGAGATTTTTCAACAGGGTTAAAGTTGAAAAATGTATAGTCTAGTTCAAAGTTGTAAATTATATAGTTCATTTCATAAACTTATTCTTTTACAACTAGGATAAATCTAAATCCAAGTTGAATGATTAAATAATAATAATATTTCAAAAGGGTTAAAGTTGAAGAATTTATAGTCCATTTCAAAATTATAAATTAAATATTCCACTTTACAAGCTTATTTGTTTACAACAAGGGTAAATATAAATCTAAGTTGTAGTAAATTTTCAATAAGGTCAAAGTTGAACGTCTATAGTTTATTTTAAATTTGTAATTTATGTAGTCTATTTCACTAATTAAGGATAGATTCATAATCCAAATTGTGTAACCTTTTAAGTGTGTTAAACAAGGATAAATTTAAATCTAAGTTGATTTAAAAGTAAAGTTAGGAATTTCTTTACCAATTAAAACGAGGATAACGATCAATTTAAGTTGAATAATTCTCAAAAAGTACAAGATTAACATGGATAAACTTTAATCCAAGTTGATTAGTAAATTAAAACTCTTGACTCTATTTATCAGTCAAAATTAAGATGTATAATTTGGCAAGTAGACAACCTATATGTCTATGGGATCAATACTTTTAGGAAGGGGAAGGGGATCTGGAATAAACCCACCAAGTAGTTTAGCAATTCCAAACCAAGCTATATCATCTGGGAATGTTGAGGCCCATTTTTCAGGGGACCCTAGAAACTCTCATGGTTGTATTGCTGCAAGATTTTTACCTGACTTTAATCAAGGGGAGACAATAAATAAATACCCAAATATATTGCCTACTTCAATTAATGAAGGTGAAAGGGAGATAACTCATTTGACTGATCAAAATTCTCGTACAATGGATCATTCTGTCAACTTACCTGCTATAAGTCAAGGAATTGAGAATAACTTCAATTCATTTCTGGTTCCAACCCAAAGTAGAAGTGAGAGTGCTTTAATTTCAAGATCAACATACTCTTATAGTGATGAGCTCACACAATTAAGAAAGCAATGATATGCCTTAAAAATGAAATTTCGAATTAAGAGAACAGCCCAACAAAACGGCCTCCCTATCCCAAGTTCAAGTCAAACAAACATTAGTCAAAATCTGGTCAACACAACTTACCAGTCAACAGATTATATAGAACCGAATGAATATCCTGGTACCAATAGCCATGTTAACCAGGATATTGTTAACAGCAACATTTCACACAATCCAGTTCTTAACAATAACATGTATACTCTGAGTCAATTTTTGAGCAACATCTATCTCCTCATAAAACAATGCAACGAAGTAACCATAGTGTACAGAATAGTAGTTTTATGCAGAGTCAAGACCTGAACAGTTATTTTCAACAAAATCCAGTACCAAATAGGGATTTTTCATTGTATCATCCAATCACAGAGTCAAACTTGTTACCAATGCAGCATTCGAGTGGTCCATAGTATTTCTATACAGCAACAGAAGTTCCAAGATTTAATGACAATGGACAAAGAACAAGAGTGCCATTCTATAACGGAACGGATCCATGGAACGCATATGTGATGCAATTTGAGCTGATTGCGGAAATGATCAATCGGACTCCATCAACCAAAGCCATAGAACTGGTTACAACCCTCAAAGATGAAGCAATGGTCTATGCCTCATTCCTTACACCAGAGACAAAGAGATCATATTCAGCACTGTGTGCAGCCATTTCAAATAGATTCGGAGATCATGGGTATCCTGAAATATACAGACAAGAGCTCCATACTTTGAGAAAGCAAAATAGAGAGACAATCCAAGAGTATACTTCAAGGGTCGAGATGTTAGTCAGAAAGTCTTTCCCAACCTTTGACATAGCAACCCATAGTACACTTAGTGTGGAGTATATGTTAGGAGGACTTCTGGATCAGAGTATTGCTATTGATTTGTTGACAAAAAGGACTACCAGCATAACAGAGGCAATACACCAAGTTATCCTGTATGAAACATATAAGAGAGGTACCAGAGATAGAAACATCCGTCAGCTTGGTACAACAGAGGAAAGATTTAGGGATGATCGAGGATCTCAAGACATAGAAGTTGGTGGGAAGAGATACGTCACAGAGGAGAGACTTACCCAATTTGAAAGAGGGATGAAAGATTCCATCACCCAGTCCATCACCTAGTCAGTAGGGGAGATAATTCAGAAGGAGATGACAAAATATCATAAACCTGATGTAAAATAATGATATAGACAAAACAAACAGTATAATAAAGTCAACAGAACCAAAACAAGAACAACTAGATGTTTTAATTGTAATGAAGAAGGTCATTACATAAAAGACTGTCCAAAACCAAGACTAATGCAAAGTATCACAGAAAACAGATGGTTTAGCAAGTAAATTGACTCTCAGCAGGGTACACAGCAGAATCCTTTAAACTAACAAGGGTTGAGACTGTTGGCCAAGTCACATCTCCTGAAAAAATTGACAAATTGATTATTTGTAACACGAGTGAAATTAAGGATACAATGACAATGAACTACATGTATGAAGATGATAAATTTGATATATTTAATCAGGACCTGAGCTTAAATTTATTGTTTGAGGAATCAGAGAAAGTACAGAAGAGTGCATCATGTGAAGTAAGTGTTAGTGCCAAACCGAGTAATAAAAAAGAGGAAAATATAAGCATTGATAGGGTTGGGGCAGCTACCATTACTGTTCCTTTGGTCAATAACGAGGTTAAAGCCGAGTCAACTATTGGCACTGGAGTTGGGGGTGACACTTGTAAGGGAAAAATTGATTTGGAGAAAGTCAATACAATACCAGTCAATGCAGAGATAGTCATTGCTGGAAAGGGAGAAAATGATGAAGGAGAATTAGATATCTTGCCTGATCATGAACATAAGGGAGAAATCTATATTTCTGAGTCATGGATCCAGAGTTCAGAAATAGTACAAAATATGATCAGTGAAGGAGTAAATAATGGTTATCCAATGAATAAGGTTAATATTCAGAAGATGTCTGAAATACTGGAAGATCAGAACATAAAAAGCTCAAAGAATCTTGCAAATGAAGTACAATCAAGACAATTATTGCTGATAGAAAAGGATGAAATTGTAGCATTTAAAACGGAAGTAGAACAAAAATTATAAAGACATACTTGAAAATACACATGATAGAACAAGCGACTTTATGAAATATTGGAGAAAAGAGAAGAAAACACGGAGACATCATGGAAATTTGGAGAAAAAAGAAGAAAAGGACCGGAAGATGACACAACAACAAAGGACATTATGAAAAATTGGAGGCAGAGGAAGAAAAGACCGGAAGACGACACAGAAGAAAAGGACCAAAAGAAAAGACCATAAATCCATACCAATAATGAAGACATTATCCTCGTCTCATGGGTTTTCGTGCTATCAAGAATGCATTGTGACGTCACAATTTCCATTGATAAGGCATGCATAGTACAAATTTATATGACGTACGAAAACATATGATCTAACCATAAATTTTAAACATTTTATTGACATGAAACTATAATTTTGACAGTATTTATTCCTATCTCTGTCGTATTCGATTTATACAATTTTAGTGTGATTTGTGATATACGTGATATCATATTATTCGTGACCTAGTCAAAAATTGAAAGAAACAAATTTTCTTTATTCTAATATTATATTAAGTCAGCAGGTGCTTGTTAAGATATTGTTTTATTGAATGTTATTATTTAATATTTCGCCATTAATTATTTAAATTTAGAGACAAACTTCTATTTTGACGGAGGGCAGTGTTGTGAACGTTAAATAACGCGGTAATACCTTTGTGTCAACGTAACGACGTTCCCGGCAAATTTGACTGTTGCCGATTTTACGTTACGAAATTCCGCCAACATGTGGCATTCGAATAACATCTTTGTTTTCTAGCTTGTAATTAATCCTACATTTCTTTAGTTACTGCTATTCACATGCTTTATACTGCAATACCGGTGTCAAGATGTCAAATCGTGCTTGCGTTTTATATAATCCAGTATTTATGTACGTATTGACAGTGATTTACATGATTAATCTTGCACGTGAGCGGCCTATTTTCCTGCACGCAACGTTGAACATTGTGAGATTTGGCATATGAAAAGGGGATTTCCCATGATAAACATGATTATGATTTGAATTTGAACTGAGCATCAGAGAATATAGGTAAATACTTTGACATACAAACTCAAATACCAAAAACCGTTAAAAACATATTTATTGTACTTTTATCTATTGTATTGATTTAATGATAATATAATTTCTATTTCCTGAAGATAATTTAGCTATTATTTTGTAAGAAAATACTGGCAAAGGTATTTATGCATTGATTGAATTTATCTAAAAACTATTGTTGTCCAAATAAAGATAACAATTATAACAAGTAACACACTCCAACTCTTGTTTTTGCATATGAATAAGTGTTCTCTGTGGGAGTTTCATATTTTATAGAAAAATGATCAATTGCCGTCACATATTTTTTTACAAATTGGCCGGTATTTTCTCTTTATGTAGTCTCGAAGTCGCAGCCTACTTGGGAATGTTTGTTCTATGACATAAAGCAAGTTTCAGGAAAATTGTTATTTGTCATGGAAGTAGCTACGTAAAATGAGTTTGGACTTACATGACAGAAGTTGCGTGCAGAGCAGGAATTTTCGTTTAGACCCACGTTGTCTCTTGTCGCTTGAAGCACGAGTCATCAGGTGATTATTTTTACCAATTCTAATTTGTTTGGAACAAAACGTGAGAGACTTGACTTCGATAGACGACATTAATATGTAGGCGAACATGTCCTGGTGTATATGAATGTGTAATTTATAACAATAAGTCGAGCCTTTACTATATAACATCAAAATTTGTTTCTGTATAAAAACAATGGAACATAAAACGATTTATTTTGAACATGTTATAAATTTAAGGTAAACTTTGAAGTCTGATCATCACATATTGATTGTGAAGCACTTATATCCATATATCGATATCTTTTTGCTGAAATAAGCGTTCCCAAAGCGGAATCTCTTTTTCTGGGTTCATTATATACCAACAGGCGTCTGTTAAATATGACAATACAGGCGAGGACTTCAACAGCTTAAATTTTTTGACAGTAAACTGTTTTCCAACATTCGGTCGCACAATTATTTCGGTTGAAGAAATGCTTTTAATTTCCATACCAACAAACCAACCTGTAAAGATAAAACAAAAATGATAAAAGTAAGAAATGGTTGACAACAGAGTACATATGTACATGTACAAAATGGACATTTAGGAAAAGTTTACGGGCAATAGAATAAATGAAGTATTTTGAGACGAAGACTACCTTCTCAGTTTTATAAGCTTTGTGTGAAAATGTGCCCCTATCGCATAAAAATTCTAACCATTCTTTATTGCAGAACTTCATTTTTATAGAAGCAAATGTAAGACATGCAACACAATATGTAAATGACATTTTTGAGCCGATTAATTATGGGCAGGTAAAATAATACCTGTTTTTTTAAACTGCTTCCTCGTACAGTTATATAACCAAGGACCGTCAAATAGTCTTCAAAATATGTATTTATATTACAGATGTTAATCCAACTTTGCCTATATTTGTTTTTTTTCAGAAAGTTGAATACAATTTAAGTTTTTGTATATTGTTTATGATCATACAAAATTACTAAATACCATTCATACTTTTATGCAGTATACGAGCATTAAGACAATGATATTTTATGTCAGTAGCGTTAGAAATTATGAATAAGATATGCAACAAATACTGATGAGCAGTAATGATAAAGAAAAACAATAAAAAAAGCAGCATGTCGTTTTGGAATCTTCATTATATATACAATAATAGGTCAATGTCAGCAAAATATCAAATTTTTTATATGAGGATTAGAAACTGGGGAAGGGCGATGTTTACCGAGCCCTTCAACAGTTTTGTGCCGAATACAAAAATGTTTTTTTCTGACATTGACCTTATATTGTTTTTATACTGCAGCTAAAACTTGCTACAATAATAATTATGAAAACACACAAATAAAACTTATTTTCCATTCCTCTATATTTGGTAGATAAAGACAACAGGAAGTGTTCTAACTGCTGTATACAAACAAATATGTTTGGCCATTTTAATTATTTTAATCATCTTTCAAATACTTTAATTTGTATAATAGAACTAAACGGTTAAGGGTGAACGTTATTTTCAAATAGGTCAATGTGTAATGATGCTGCTTATTTTCCGTATAATAATAAAAATTACGTAGTGGTCCAGAAGCAAAAACTTAATTGCTTTGTCGTATATAAAGATGAAGTTGTAAACCGAATAGTCGGATTTTGGCAGGGGAAACTACAACTGTTAGATTATAGGACGAAAAGTCTTTTGTTCTTTTGTTGTGAATGTCCTTCCATAGTTTTGTAACATTCAACATAGCATTAGATAATTTCAGAAACTTGATATTCATATATTGTTTTTCTGTTCCCCTTCCCGTAACTCGACAGCTTTTATGTAATCTCTTTTCCTCTTCTGAATCAGGGTTTTGGCAATGATTACATGAAGTGATTTTTGTGGCTCTGAAATTGACAGTTATAATAAAATTAATTATTAAAATTTTGATCGCCAGTCTTTAACTCGGTTGCAACATTTTAAACTTATGTTTATCAACTTGTACATTCATTAAAGGAAAATGTGTTATTCAATTATCTCGTCTATTCCAATAGTTGCCTTCTAAGTTTGCGAGGTCTCTATATTTTTTTCTTGTTTTCTATTCTCTTTTCATGTTCTTCGTTTTTTCTGTGTAGTTTGTTATGTTAAGATTATGTTATAAAAATGTATCTTAAATTACATTGACGTTCCTTCAGTAAATGTGTATTGTTTGGAAATGGTTTTGATTTTTGTTTTTTGTTAAATATTTTGAATATCTTACTTATTGGACTGTATAGAAAATGATATCTGCCTGTGTCCTTTGGGTCTAAATTCATACAGAGTGGTACTGTTGATCCTTTCATGTGTAAGAAAAAATTAGGAGATCTTTGGTCTAAAAATACATGGTCAAAAATGAAAACAACACTTTATAAATATCATGCGTCCGAAGCGCTTTTCTGAACTTATCAGCAAAACTCAAAGTCAAATATTTGAAAGCTAAGCAACATTGTAAAGTTAGTATATGATATTACACAAAAAAAAAAAAAAAAAAAAAAAAAAAAAAAAAAAAAAAAAACGTTTTGTTTTTGCTCGTTTTCATGTTATCTTTTCCTCCGACTATGTAACAATAGTTCTCGCAGAGATCTGATAAGGTTATCGATAAGCTTTCAAAACTTTCGCATTATGTAATAAAATTAAATTGTTGGTGATTTGTCTTGTCTGTTGTCCTTTTTTTGGTAAATACTATCAATTCTTTTAAGTAACATTCATGGTTGTTTCTAATTCAATTTTTTTAATTAGTAAAATAGAAATGGGCTTGTGCATAACTTAAACATTACATAAGAGTCTGGCCAATCAGATACATATGATGCATTTGCAATGTTGAGTCAATTGTATACCAGATTTGTTTCTTGTAAAAAGGACATAACACAATTCGAATCAGGTTCCACCACCCTTAAAAAATGCTTTATATACTCGATTCTTACGTAAAAAATAAAGTTATGTATTAGTTACGCAGGAAGAACGAATGTCTCTTTTTGAAATGTATGGTGATTGTTTATAAATATCCGACAGTACCAAATTGCTTGTATATTGTTTAAATAGCTTCTATTACATAATTTAAGGACATATCTTTAAAACAATGAAAATTTCACTTTTCAAATTTTTAGCCCTCGAAGCGCTTTTCTAGATTTGCCTTCATTAGGCACACTCAAAGCCAAATATTTGAAAGCCAATGATGTATAAGTATCGTGACTAGTGAAGAGCTATATGACCAACAGAGACCTAAGGCTAATAGCCAAATTCGTCGTAGGTCAACTTTCCTGAGGGCTGACACGCACATTTATGGAGCGTTCTATATTTTCTATTTGTGTATTATTGTTATTGCACCATGATACCTTGTCCATAGGGACAATAGGATATTTGATTGTTCATGATATAACAGCCAGGTATTTTTTTTCTTTCGTGGATCGGATATTTTCTAAGCCAAGTAACTAGGTAAGAACATTCTGTATAGAACTTCATGCTGCTGAGTGACAATAAATAAGCTGTTATTATCATGATTTATAAAGTATCGTGCAAAGTTGAATAACTACAACCTGATGCAACATCGGTTTTTTATCGACCATAGTATACAGAATCTGAAGTTCTATGAATAACTGCGAAATCATGTGATCACAGTAAACATGTAAATGATAAAATTATTTGATATAATTGATTAGTAATAAAATTCACATTCAAAACAAATCAATGCATATTAGCGAATTTCATGGAACTCTACACACTCTTATTAAAATAATTATTAGTTTGTTTTCTGCCTTTGACTCCATGTTCTATAAATGTAGAAAATATACGTAGTTCCTAGTGATAAAATCTTGAAATATTCAACATGTGCATATGTGTAGACTCAACTAGGAAGCAATAAATGATGTTTCGCAATTTAGATAATGATAATGTACCGAGTGAAAACAAATGTGTATTTACTTCAAAATTAAAACAAGAATGTGTCCATAGTACATGGATGCCCCACTCGCACTATCATTTTCTATGTTCAGTGGACCGTGAAATTGGGGTCTTGTGTTTATTAATGAAAACTGTACACTTTATAAGCTGTTCACTTGTGTGGAAAAGATATGAAATCGATTTTTAACCAGCGTATGCGATATTATCTAATATTATAAAACAAATTTCAGAACAAAGGGATTCATCTAGAAAATCATTTAAGAAATGAATGCTTCTTTTTGTAATTTTTGAGTGTTGACCGAAGAACATTTTGTATGAAGCGCTTTCGCTTACAAAAATTACAAAAAGAAACATTCATTTCTTATTATTACATTTTTATTCTTATATACGACCATGAAAAGTTTTGTCAAGTTTTTCTTTTATTCATCTTTGCACTTTTTTGTGGAAGCACGTGTCATCACGTATGTAACATTCATTTTGATTTGAAGGTTAATTTTTGAATGAGCACGATTGTTGTTAGCCAATCAAACTAATCAAACTAACGGAAACATATAAATTATGTAATGTAACTATTCAAATACAATTAACTGACCTGTCTGAAAGATAAATGTATACAACATTCACAAGAGACTTCCAAAAAAATATTGGTATTACCAGTGCAATCATATCTGCAAAACCATCATTCACTCCACAAGTTCCAAGAGTAGAAAAACAAAAAAATCGACTGAGCCGAAACTCAAGCGCAATTAATAACAAATAAGTGAAAAATTTTGGTGTACGTTTCATGTGCATACTATATACAAAGTTCTACATATACGATTACATTAAGCATTCATTTCTACATTGTAAATGACCAAATAAAATACAAAGCGTCTCAAATAACAAATCAACAATTTGATCATTTACCCTTTTCCTCAATACTAAGTTAAGTACAATTCTACATGTACAACTGTGAGTAAATGTAACAACGAATAGTAATCAATCACAGCGGATTCCGTAACAGTTTCAATACAATCTAAATTAGTATGATTTTAATCAAATTCCATAAACAATGAGACATGATTGTAACTCCTTTACATCTGCCATCCTTCTTGTTGAAATTACGGAAACATATACGTGTATAAACATTCTGAGTATGTCTTTTTTATATTATATGGAAAAGAAATAACCAAAACGATATGTTTTGAGAATTCGAATATGCTTGAAAAGCTGTTTATACAATCAGCAATTAACTAAGACTGTGCTCCACTTGTTTCTCACGTGACACATACTTTGAAACTTGAAGCATGCAACTTTATCTGACCTGTTTTGGTTGTGTGAAATCTTGGACAAAGTTTAATGATGCCTTCATACTGTCTATTACAGAATATGCAGAGACGAGCTAAGATGGAAGACTAATAAATGAAATCAAACAGCTCATCTATAAACCACAATTTTACAATTCTATAGGCATGTTATTTTTCATTATTTAGATGTAAATGACAAACATGAACACTTTTCAGTTGGTTTCGTGTTGCTAAATCAAAAGTTTTTATTGTGGTGTTTTGTGGACTATTGTTTGTTTCAGAGTCTTTTTTTTATTTTTGTGGAATCGTGTTTACAGATAGATATTGATTCTTTCTTCGTATTTTCACCATATTTTAGACTGAATAGATAACATTGAGTTTTTACCTATACACAGATACCAAGTCATAGAATAATATAAAAACAATTTTCAAGTTACAAAAAAACATATAAAAATTGTTTTTAAAAATACTAATTGTTAACCATCCAGATTGAAATGTCAATAAACATTACGTAATAATCATTAATCAATAAATGTATGATAAAAAAGTGATAAAACTGACAAAATCAAACGCTTTAAATCAACTGAACGAGTGTAAAACAACTGCCACATTCCAGACTAGGTACAGGCATTTTCCGAAGAAAAAAATGGATTAAACCGGGTTTTATGGCTAGTTAAACCCCCACTTGTATAACATTAGTTTATATTTCTGTTATATCAATAGAATTGGGTGGGCAACCTAAACAGAAATAAAAGGTTAAAGTGACAGTATTTGAGACCCAGCAGCCTAAATGTAAACAATTATACATCACAGACAAAAAAAAGTAAAAAAAGCATACAAATTAATCAAACAAAGACGCCAACAAAAACATGTAAATTTGACAATTTGGTAAACAAAAAAGTATTTGTCGTTCATAGTACATACCGTATATAGTATACACTTTCTCGATAAAGTAAAAATAAAGTAAATATAAATACAAGGGTAAAGAAAATAGAAAGACTGTGTTTGATTCGCACCCCAGGACCCACCTGCACCAGGAATGCCTAAGGTTAAAAAGTAAAAGACCCAAAGGCGAGATGGAAAATCGAGTCACGTCAAAAGTCATACGACCTTTTTATTTTATTTTTTTTTGCAAAACATCGATGATGTTTTAGAAGTTTGAGTAGCAGCTGCAAGCTCTTGAATATCGTATGAGCTGAAAAATGTATACTTCATAGGCGGGTGGTATATTGCTGTTAAGATGAGGAAAATCTATAATTTCAAAATTGAAATCGTCTCGTTCTCATTCTAGTATGAGATGACCGATGTTGTCAAATTCGAGGTAAATATCTAGTAAGTCATGATGCGGAGGGAGCTGCATCAGTGGTTTCTTTAATCTCTAGTTTAGGAGGATATATTAATGGAACCCAATCAGAAAAGTTTGGATTGTTAATGGAAAGAAAATCACCATTGACAATACACTTGCATGTGAAATTAAATAATCTAGAGTCTTTGATCTTCCTGTCTTTTACCACGTGCACTGTCTGAAGGAACAAAGACTCATATACAAATAAGAAAATATCTACCAAGAGAGGTGCACAGTTGGTTCCCATAGGAATCATGACAACCTGCTGGAAAATTCTACCTCCAAGTTCAATAAATATGTTGTCAACGAGAAACTCCACCATACAGATCAGTTGTTCTTTGGTGTAGCATGTTTTATTTTCAGGCTCATTGTTAACATATAAGTATATCTATTTAATATGATAACGAAAACATAGTACTATTAAGACATTTTAAGATACGCAACGACGCAAATTTGTCAAGCGTTCTATATTTTTACTTCTGTGTATCATTGTTACTACGAAAGATAATCAAAACAAAACATATCTATATATGTGGTGTGTTTAATATATCAGATATTTAGTTTTAAATTATTTACTTTTGAAATTTGCTTCCCTAAATCTAGCTTACATACATTGTTTATTTTTTCAAATATTTGTTTATTTTGTCTTCGTTTCAGTATTTTCATTTTTTACATCCACTTACAGACTACTACATTTTATAACAGAATCAAAAGTTGTTCATTTAGCTTTTAAGATTAAGACATACTTTTGTATTTGCAAAATGTTGGAACCAAGTCCTTTGAATTCGCAGGAGTAGGTTTCAAATCATCGATTTTCCAGCACTGTCTGTCTATCCGTGATTGGCTTATTCTAACATTTGTTATATTTCTACTAGTACAAACACCGCCCAAGTTTGGATTTAGTTTCACAATTCTGGAGTTCACTCTTTCTATTCCAATTCCAACAAATGTCCCTGTAGTAAATTTAATAAAACATGTACTTGTACCGAAGTTAAACATGAGTTACTTCAACCAATAATTATCCAATAATAAAACAAAGTCTAGAAAAATCAATCACCGAAGAATTTGTTTTCATTTAGTTTTGACAAAAGTCATTAGTTATGTCGAAATATGGATTTTCTTTACGATATAATTGTAATCTATTAGCATATATATTTTATCAGAATCATTCCACAATTCTTAAAAGACTAGAAAATTTGTTATGTATGTGTACTATATTGGTTGGATGTTTTCTAAATGTATAAGATTTGTGTTTACAATTTATTGTTTTGTTCTTACAATACATATATATATATACAAGTCTAAATTGAAAACAACGTTTAAACCTATGATTGCGTTGGATAAAAACCGCAATTTTTATACGTGTGCATGCAAAACAAATTTCTTGTTAGAGGGGTCTAAATACAGCACAAACAACATTTTCCAAAAGACCAAAAAAGTGAAAAAGTATATTTTAACAAAACGCATTTGACTAACAGGTCGAACAACAAATGTTCTTAAATCCTGCCGACTGCCATTGGCGATTGCCAAATAAATGGATCACCCATGTAATAAATAGATCTTAATTATAAATTAAATACTAAAGAGAAAACAATAAACTTGCGGAAAAGATGATATACCGCAAAAAAAAGGTGCAAAGGTTTTTGTACACCATATCCGGATTTCGACAATTAATGTCTCTTCAGTGATGTTAGGAATCGAAACGGTATTTGGAAAGCCATACAATTTACCTCAATTAGGATAGACTCTTGAATTTTGAGGAGTCAAAATAGGATAAACGGATCATATAAACCAGAAGGCAAATATATATATAGATTATCTATGATTCTGAAAACGAGAGTGAGTTTTTCAGCTTTCAATGTAATGTCAAGGACGTTGGATTATGACGTCATTGTGTTTTCATTCTTCTCTTCCGATAAATGTATTCTCAGTCGAGTAGCTCGTTATAGAAAATTATCACTCAGAAAGATCAATACAATAACAAAGGGAATATCGAGAGTTCTAAATTTTACACGATTACTATATTTGTTTAAATATTCCAAATTCAATTTAGATGTTGTTATTTGGTTCCTTTTTAATGTTTCTTTAACTCTTTGTAGGGGTTTATGTGGTTGAAGTGTAAGGATGCACGCAAAATTTTACAAAATAGATAATAATATAAGGTATCATGATTTATATGTCAATAAACTTCGTACTGCAACAATAAGTTTATCACACAAAAGAATTACCAAAAACTGTGCACGACTATTACTATAACCTTAATTCATCGAAACAGTGTCTATGAATCTTGAAATAGATACCTTTATGAATCTTGAAATTGCAATAATCAAATGATTTGAGGTAAAGAAAAAAAGTAAGTATAAAAGTAACGTTATCATATTACCTAATAGTCCTTTAGCACCAACAACATTGCTTTGCCCTACTTTGACATCAATCTGTAGACTCTTTCCATCTCTTGATGGTAGAATATTGAATGTAATGTTTTGACTGCTAAATGTGTTTGAATATCTGTATCCGATTTTGGACCATTTCTTTGCCTGTGTTCCTTCGGAATTTAATTTTACTTCGTTCTGACCGTTTTTAATTACGACTTCTTCGATATATCCGATTGTATTTTTCCTGTTTCCCGGAGTTGTACAAACATTGAACGTTACGGCAAGTGATTTTTCTGTATTAAAAAATGAAGAATTTACAATACAATTAAAAACAACTATTTGAACTGTGATATAATATATCGTTAGATTTCTGATCCTTAGTCCTTATTTGAAAAGTCATTAGTTTAACCAGCTAAATAATATTATCGGAACAATTGTCACAAAGCATTGTCATAAACTTTCACTGAAGTCAGACGCATATTTTATGTTTCAATAGGCAACTACATGTTTTACCGAGACATTTATGCAATTATACCATCACATTTTTTTTCCTGTAGTTTATTTAAATCATGTATTGTACATGTTCTCTTATCTTTGACGGATTATTTTTTTTTCTGAGGAGTCGGTTGACGGTTGGTGTGGTCTGTGCTACTGTATAATATTTTTGATCATTCCTGCTATCCATTGTATCTGTTAGTTAATTCAAATTTCCAATTCAATTTTCGATTCCAATGTTTAAGGTTCCAATATGCAGTTACATTTTGAAAGTGTTGCTTTGTATTTTGGGATATGTGAATTTAAAATTAATTATTTGTGGAAAAGAAATCTAATTTGGCAGACTAAGATTATTATAATCATAGAATGTCTTAAAATGAATAAGACAATTGTTTTCGGTTGTTTTTGTTTACTGTTATGCTCATTTTACTAATTATTTCCTATTTTAAATCCGTATCCGACACAGAGCATAACTGTAAAAGAGAGGCGAAAGATACCAGAGGGAAATTCAAACTCATAAGTCGAAAATAAACTGACAACGACATGGCTAAAAAAGAAAAAGACAAACAGACAAACAATAGTACAAACAACACAACAAAGAAAACTAAAGCAACACGAACCCCACCAAAAACTGGGGTTGATCGCAGGTGCTCCGGAAAAGTAAGCATGCAGATCCTGCTCCACATGTGACACCCGTCGTGTTGCTGATGTTAGTACATACCCGGTAATAAGTCTAATTCGGTAGGTCACATTCTGAAAAAGGGGACAGGATTGTAGTTACGACATTCGGAACATATCCGCTATCCTCTGTGAAACGGATATTCCATAACGGTCAACCAACTTGTGATGGCATCCGTAAAACGTACGAAGAGATGATTTCAACTTCACCACTTGGAACTCTTGGTTTTAAAGCTTCCTTGTAAGCAACAACCCTTCATCAAGGAAACCATGATAGGAAATGCATGCCCTAAAATATCGTATCAACTGGGAGACACATACTCCGTATGCAGGCGCTGCTGGAATGTTGCTACATAGAAATAGAAAGTTCACAATTGGGAAGCTGAAATCATCTCTTTTGTCGTAAAGTTTTCTTTTCAACCTACCCTCATTGTCAATTATTTGATGTAAGCCGAGATATGAGTTAGACTTAACTGTATCTGTTGTATCCTTTATCTCAAGTTCGATGGGATAGATGCGTTCAACATAGTCACCAAATTTTGAATTATTTAGTGAAAGAACGTCATCTATATAGCGGAAAGTAAAGTCAAAGGATACTGCTAAATTCTTTTCTTTCTTCCTAAGACGTTCCTGTATGAAGTCAGCCTCATATGAATAAAGGAACAAGTCGGCAAGAAGAGAAGCACTCTTTATTCCCATGGAAATTCCGATTGTTTGTTGAAAAATACGTCCTCCAAATGTAACAAATATGTTGTCAATCCAGAAATCAAGCATCTTGATAATGTCAGTTTCAGAGAATTTTTTGTTTGAATCGGAGTGGTCTTTTACAAAGTAGGATTTATCCCTCCCTAAGACAAAATACTTGTATCTACGTTGGCCATTCTTTTTTATGAAACAAAGCAGGACCAACACTTTCAATTTGTCTTTTAGTTTGGAATGGGGAATACTTGTGTAAAGTGTAAAAAAGTCAAATGTTTTGATACTATTGCAAGATGAAAGAGTCTTAGATTGTATGTACTCTAATAAAAGATCTTTGGAATTTTTAGTATCCAGATCTGATTTACGCCACCTCTGGAATAGGTAGTTCCACAATAACTTTGAAGCCCGGCTTTGATTGCTGATAAAATTGATGTTGATAATTTAGAAAACAATTTTTTATGAAACAAAAAAGCGCATGAAGAAAATGGTTCTGTGTAGCAATGGAAATTTCTTAGGAAGATTGGAATAGAGATTTGCTAAAAATTGTAAAGGTATATCGCATTCCCTTATTGTATAATACAATTCAAGTTTAAATAGTACATTTAAAACTTGATAGTTGTCGCGATAGAATAAGTAATCATAATAAGAAGTTACTGTAGTCGGTGGGAACGAAAGATACCAATGGGATATTCAGACTCATAAGTCGAAAACAAACTGGTAATACCATTGCAAAAAAAAAAACGACCAAACGACAAACAACAGTACACAAAACACAACAAAGAAAACTGAAGACTAAGCAACATTAACCCAACCAAACAACGGGTATGATCTCAGGTCATATGATATATACAAACCTACAAATGATATATCACAATCTTACCTTTGTCTGCTAGCAACAAGTACTTGCCAGCTCTGAAATTCATGTCCATGCACAATGGCCGTTTCGATCCTTTCATATATATGAAAATATCAGGTGAAGCCCGTTCTGAAAAATGTCATAATATATGACTTAACTCTTATTAAGCACCCATTCTTCCATAGGAATTTTTGTCATGAAAAACACATACAATGTAAACGTTGCCAGTGAGACATCAGAAAAGAGTTAATATGACATGTTTTACCCCATATTTCAAACTAAATTTTTTGTTATGACTTAATTAAAAAAGACAACGCTCTGTCTGAAAAAATGTGTTAAACGTTATGGAATAAATATGTGATCTATAAAAAATGTTATTAAAGCTTTTTTAAAGATTATTCATTTAACACTTGTGTAAATTGGTCATCAGTTACAGTTTCACTTAGTATCACAATGATCTACGAAATATTCCGCTTTCATGAATATGTTATTGTTTGTTTTCCTTTAAGCAAGCAACATCTCCTCCAGTAGTTTAGTTCTTAGATTAGAATGAATTCAATATTACATACAATAACCTTCTGAATGAAGTTATAACTTACATAGAAGCTAATTTGATGAAAATACAATAACATGCATACGATCTCTAACTTTAGTTAAACATAATTACCAAGTAACGGGTTATATAGTTTTTGATGCGTCCGTCCGGCCAACAGTGCATCCGTCAGTTACATTGTCTTACGGTTGCATAATCAAATACGTTATATCGGATTGCAACCTTAATTTGATAAATGGTACATATAACGGGATGAAAGACCCTTATTCTTTTGATGTCATTTTGTCTAAGATCAACGTCACAAGTGGTTTGTTAAGGATGTATTATCTGATGTTTGAGTCTCATTGAAATCTCGTTCTGGAATTATTTCCAAAACATGTGATACAAGTGAAAAATATCAATGAATTTAAAAAATATTATAATCAAACTAAACACTGTGAAAAAATTATGTAGTTACAATCAGTAGTTTTTGAGTAATACAATATCTAAATTTTATAACCAATCCGGTCAGTGCTATCAGCCAAAATGTTGGGGAAATGGATGACGGATACAAAGAAATGATTTTACCAAAAATATGTACATCCTATATCAATTTGTTCTTTCCAAAATTCTTCGATGTGTATTATTTCAATCATTTATAACAAAGAAGTTGAAATAATTTGGTTTTTGTTCTAAAAAAAAGAGAAAAATCCCAAATTTATAAGATGGCAGCATGGTCAATTTGACACGAAAAAGCAACAAAATTTTATAAAACTTTCTAATATTAACACCAACCTATATTTTTTTTAAGTTAAATTTATTCAGATTGGTCCACTTTATCTTAAGTGAAAGTATGAAAAAAGTTTAATTGTGAAACTGTGATTTTTTCATGATAATAGCCGTAAAAAGGGGTAAAAATTTATGAAAAATTGGAAAATCATTAAAAATGGGGTACTTTCAAATGGTCGGAGGAAAAAAAAGAAAAGCACCACCATATGAGTTTGTCTTCATCAATTACCTTTTTACAGTCATATTAACCAAAAAGTCAGGTTTAAGAAAAAAAGTTTAATTCTAGAAATTTTTGGCTCCTCAGAGGTGTGCATCCTTAATGTTACATTTTTTTTAGCGGATTACAGCTTCACTTAATTTTATGGTCAATTATAATGAGAGGAAGATACTTAAAGGTTTTGAGGTAAAAGGATCATAAAATTGGATATATCTGTGTAGGAAATGTTTGTTGGATGCCAAACAAAACACTTCTGTATTCACATTGTTTAAAATCACATAGATATGTGGTCACAAAAACTGAGAAGAAGGTCTTAATGTTTTTTTGAAAACGCTAGGTCAAAGGTCATGGTAATTTAAATCTATGTTAGACAATGTTAATGTCATAAATCTGGATTAAAAAAGGGAATAGATAATACTAATCTTGCAGGTCAATATCATCGCTTCCGTTTTTATAGGGAACATATGGTTTATGAATTTTTACAGTTAGGTTTCTTTAATCTTAAATAATTTGACAATATATGTCACTTCGAAAAATATTGCTGACTTATAAATTTTTTCAGAAAAAAAACGGAAAGGTTAAATAAAGGCAACAGTAGTATAACGCTGTTCAATAGTCATAATTCGATTTAAGCAAAAACAAATCCGGGTAACAAACTAAAACCGAGGGAAAAACATCAACTATAAAGGAAAAACAATGGAACAACAAAAGCAAACGCCAACATACATCGAAACGGACTGTCTGATAACAACTGCCATATTCCTGACTTGGTACAGGACATTTTAAGAAAAATGGTGGGTTAAATTTGTTTTGTCTCTGTAACCATCGTTTTCACACATTCAAATACCAGTACATATAAAATGACGAATATAAATTATTTCTGGTTAAGTATTTCCTGCTACATTGCCATGCATATATAGTTTGAAAATGGATGACATGACACATTTTGAAAAAAAACGTCTTGCTTAATATTACCATGATTTCAACACATGAACCTTTTTCCAAGGTCATTTTGTTCATACCAAAGTTTTAGACTTGAGTTCTAAGCAATCTGTTTTAGTCATAGATTTATTTATTTAATAATTACTTGCCTTTATTTGCTTCCCTTTATCAGCAAAAGTCTTATGAACTCAGTTTTACAAAAACTAAAGCCATATATTCATTGTTAATATGGCTGGTAAATCTAATTAGACCAGGTAAATGTAACATTTAAAGAAAAATACCCTATATAAACATTGACTTTATTTATAGTTATCATACACATTCAATTATTTACCTTTAAAGTTACAAAGAAATGTAGCCGTTGTGGTAGTAGTGGGTATTGTAGTTGTTAAACGCAATTTCTTAATTGGAGGAGCCATAATTCCATGCGGAACTATTTGTCCACCTCTACCCCGTCCGTTCCCGCTAGAGCTACTAAAACCTGAAATAATCGATTATCATGTGTGTATTTGTTTTTCTAGTTTTGGTTATTTTATGAATATTTTACCTTTCTTAAATATTCCGTTGATACATTCAGAAATTATCAAGAAACTATGTTTCCAACTAACTCAAAAAAATTTGACCTTTGATGAATTTGGCTTTTCTTTTTTATGTCCCTGTTGGTCATAAAGGTCCTAACGTATTCAAGTACGTAATGACCCTTAACTTTTAATATTTCGTGGAATTAAAGCGTTCCTGACGAATTTGAATCAGGAATAGCGTTACTGGTGAAACAAATTTATAAAGTGTTTTCAATTAATTGTTCCGATGAGCATTGCTTACTTTTCATTTGAATTTGATTTCCCGCATACTTGGCAGAACAATACTAATATATCGACATAATTTAATTTTGGATGTAACGCGTCTTCTGATTGGCTGACGTTGTTTTGTTTATTAGCTCATAGACACAATTTTGTCATGTGACCGTGACGTCATCAACGATTTTTCATGGTTTACTCCGGTTTAAAATGGAATTTAGAATTAAATTATAAGAAATGACTATAATATTTTTTCTGTCTATTCAAAATAACATAAAAAATGTGGTGCATACTTTAAAATAACCCGCTACGCGGGTGATTCACTGTGCACCACATTTTTGATGTTATTACTTCATAGACAGAAAAAATATTACAGTCATTCCTTAAATATTTTAAAAACCACATTATAACTTCAAAGAAGAAACACGTCTTTTTAGATCATTTTATACACTGATATCATTACTGAGCAACTGTTGCATAAGGCTGTCATTCCACATTTGAAGCTTTTTCATAGAATTGAGTGGTATTTTATAACATCAGACTCATGCTAACCGAAATGACTAAATATGATTAAATTATAACATTTTATTTTTAGTTTTTCAGCTTACTGATTTAATTGTCAAACTCCTTTGTAAATTATAATAAAAACAAATCTTAAAATAAAAGGCTAAAATTGGCACAAATTAAAACATTAATTTTTAAGAAAAAATAAGATGTAAAAGCGTCTCATGTAAAAACATTACAGAAAATAATAATTTATATTTATGTGAAAAGAATGACTGATTCAAATAATGAATTTGTAAAATCGTTTTTTCTTTTTAAGCTGAGACTCTTGCTGAAGCAATTTTCGAAATATTCACAAGAAAATTCGACAAAGATTAATGAAAACTAATTTACGCACACATTTCAGTACAAGTTTTCTTTAAGTGTTTTATTAGATTATACATTTGAATTTGTACAATGTAGTTAACGATTGGTGTTTCAGCGATTGGCTTTTTCCTCTGTGTTTGATTCCCATTTTTATTGTGAAATATCTTAAACAATTGCTTAGTTTTGTATTCCTGATGTGAAAAACATTACAAATTATAATGATCAGATTAGAGTCTTGCAATTTTTGCTTTTCTTTCACATGTTGTAAAATGTTGCTTGATCAAAATACTTTTAAGTATTCTTTCAGACCGGGCAATGCACTTAAAGTTTCGTTCAAGGTATAAGATTAAATCCTGCATTTGTAAAGAACTACTTCTTGGTATTTTAAGGTCACATCGGTTGCTGTAAATGTATTGTCTTTGATCGTTCTTTTGACATACAATCCACATTTTCATGATACTTAAAGATGATTCAAATGTTACTAAAGTGGTTCGTCGGCGTATTTTTTTTTTAATTGTAAAAAAAGAAAAAATCAAATATGACTGTAATTGTCAATCGATGAACTTCATTTCGATTTTACTACTGTGTTTTAAATTCGAAGTGTTTTATTTACTTATATATAGATAGATAATATGATTGTGAGTGTCATATTTCAGGTTTCTTGACATGCGTATTAACGATCAAGATGTTTTTTGAAAATTTTGTCGACAGGATCATAACTGTGATATATCATGTTCAGTTTGGGTTCATAAATTAACTAAAAGTCATATCAATGTTTAAGGATCTATGCGAAGTTAGCTAGTAAGACAATTTTTTTTTTTTTTTTTTTTTTTTTAAGATTCGATGTATATGCAAAGTGTTTATAATCTTAAATGTTAAGGAACTTTTGGTTTAAAATTGAAAACACGGTTTATTGTTGCTACGTAACTAGAGTCAAAACTATTGAATAAAGCTGATTCTGAGGGGTTTATTTAACAAGGTATGGATTGGGAATTTTATTACGCTTCATGCTTGACAAATATTCTATTTCATTAAACTTCATTAAAAACATGGAAAGTTGCATGTTACTCACTTGGTCCAAAACTTCCCGCTAGACGTGATAGCGGCATTGGTAGACCTGGTCGCGGCATTGGTAGACCTGGTCGCGGCACTAGTCGACGTTTATGTGGCACTGGCCGCCGTAGATTTGGCGCTGTAACAACCATAGAGGTGAAGGGTGTGACAAACTGGTACTGGAAGTAGTACATGTTAATTAAAATTAGCGACTGTTCCTGTATTGCTCGAAACTAATATTACTTACTGACTGCCTGTCCAGCTTAAAGTAATGATGTTGATACGAACTTAAAACATTGCTTCTTAAACACATTGATCTAGATTAAAAAGGTTTCCTTTTTAATCATGATACAGAAGCTTTAGGTAGTGAAATTTTAATCTGCCAAAATGTTACTCCATCTCTGTTTCAAAGATATCGCTTCTCAGTTCAAAATATCATTAGGATAATCAAAAAATGCTTTTTTCTAAGTTAAATTATGCTTGCTTATATTCCGGTTTACAAAATTTGTAATGCAAGAGACAATAATTTTAGTTGTAACCCGACTATTCGTGCTCTCTATAAATGTCTTTCAAGTTTTTTTTATGGAATTTGATTGCCGTCTCACTTACGCATAACCACGCCTCTTTTTATTTTTTTTAGAGAATTTCAATTTTCTTACTTCCCACGAAAATAAAGAAGAACAGAAAGACTTACTTTCAATGCTATATCTATAATCTTAGCTTTAATACGATCCTTATCTGTGCTTGTTATATCACCTTCTAATTCCCTTATTAATTGTTTGATTGTCAGATATGCCCACATGTTTTCTGTTATTGTTGAAAAGTCAGCATCCGTAGTTAATGCAACAAGATCAGGAACAGGTCTAGGTCTCCAAATTAAGTCTATGTAACCATCATTCCAACCTCTTACTCGAGGTACAATTTTAGAATTCTTCGATCTCAGTCGCCCCGCAACTATCAATTCGGAACCACCAAAATAGAATGGAAAATAGAATTTTGTAATTGTATTATAATCAACGTCTCCTAAATAATCGAATGTAACATTTTTTAATAGAGCGGATGATATTTCAGAATATAATCCTTCAATCTGCAAAGCAGCATCCGAGTCTACGTAAATTTTTCGCGCAAATCCATTGTTTTGTGTAGACATCTGTTTAAGAAAATTAAGATTAACATTATTTCCGAAACCTAAACTGAATATAGGAAGTTTTGCCTCATTTGTTGTTCTAACATTCCGCAAGATTGCGTTAATGCTTGTTTCTCCAGAAGTTGGAAGTCCATCAGTCAAAAACATTACGATGGAAGATTTTTTAGTATTGAGGAATCTGGTCAACAGTTTTATTCCATCTATTACGGCTTTATTGATGTCTGTGCCTAAAAGTATACGTAGAATTTTAAAACATTCATGGTTTAAACACAGAAATAAATTATTCATATCTATATTTTACCAATTATTAGTAATTGGGAGTTGCATGACAAACCATTAATCAGCAACACATCTCAAATATATAAGTTTTTGAAAGAATTATTGTCAAGATATAATTGTACCCTGTATTGTTTTTATTAACAGCGTAAGTAATGGAATTTAACGTTATAACATTAAGCGATTAATGTACTCTGTCGGAGGCGGGGTAAATGTCGTGTGATGCATGCATTAACAAGAGTACTGGGCTAGTAGATTTGTTCCGAATGGACGGATTTTTCTACATGTCCAACGATGAATCAGTACTACGATTGGATATCTTAACTTAAGTGGTTTTATGAATATCAGCCCAGTTATTTTTCGGTTAAACCTAAGTTATACCAGTGCTACACATTTTTGCTGAAGAACATGTTTGATATAATTACAAATGGAACTTGGTTTTGTAAAATATTCTATTGAAATATATACTAAATATAAATGAATGTGTTAATGTCAACAGTAATACTTAGTATTTCTTACTATATATATATTTGGCTTGAGCATTTGTTTGCAAGATTCATCTTATTATTTTTGCAACAAATAATTCATACTGCAGTTTAAACAAGACATGAAAGCATGTACAAAACAGTAATACTTTGTAATCTTGTTAGAATCTTTAAGTAAAGACCTATTGCTGTGATACTTTGAACTTTAGATTTTAAGACTTTAAAGAAAAAACACTTCTTTTATTTTAAATATGTTTGACCCGCAATATAAGACTGCAGCATATTTCATGTTTAGTTATCATACAGTGTTTAGTTTGTGTAAACATGATTATTTTGCTTTTAACAAATGTTTAACCTATCTCAAGTGTTATATTAAGGACGTTTGACACGATGTTCAAAGAACAACAGTTACTGTGTTACGTCTCAAATACAAATTCAGGTCCTAATTTTCTCTTCCCTTTTTAGCTCACCAAGTGAGCTTTTCTCATCACTTTGCGTCCGTCGTCCGTCGTCCGTCGTCGGCGTCGGCGTCGGCGTCGGCGTCGGCGTCGGCGTCGGCGTCGGCGTCCGTCGTCGTTAGCTTTTTACAAAAATCTTCCCCTCTGAAACCACTGGGCCAAATTTAACCAAACTTGGCCACAATCATCATTAGGGTATCTAGTTTGAAAAAATGTGTTCGATGACTCCGCCAACCAACCAAGATGGCCGCCATGGCTAAAAAGAGAACATAGGGGTAAAATGTAGATTTTGGCTTAAATCTCTGAAACCAAAGCATTTAGAGTAAATCTGACATAGGGTAAAACTGATTATCAGGTCAAGATCTATCTGCCCTACCATTTTCAGACAAATCTGACAACCTGTTGTTGGGTTGCTGCCCCTGAATTGGTAATTTTAAGGAAATTTTGCAGTTTTTGGTTATTATCTTGAATATTATTATAGATAGAGATAAACTGTAAAGAGCAATAATGTTCAGCAAAGTAAGATCTACAAATAAGTCGTCATGACCAAAATTTTTCGGTCGACCCCTTTAGGAGTTATTGCCCTTAATAGTCAATTTTAACAATTTTTTGTAAATTTTTGTAATCTTTTACAAAAATCTTCTTCTCTGAAACTACTGAGACAAATTTAACCATACTTGGCCATAATCATTATTTGGGTATCTAGTTTAAAAAATTTGTCCGATGACCCCGCCTTCCAACCATCATGGCCGACTTGGTTAAAAATAGAACATAGGGGTAAAATGCAGTTTTTGGTTTATATCTCTGAAACTAAAGCATTTAGAGCAAATCTGACAGGTGGCAAAAATGTTCATCAGATTTAGATTTATCTGCCCTGAAATTTTCAGACGAATCCGACAACCCCTTGTTGGGTTGCTGCCCCTGAGTTAGTAATTTTACAAAAATTTTGCAGTTTTTTGTTATTATCTTAGATATCATTATACTATCTTATATCTAATACTATTAATTATGATTTTAACCTTATTTTACCTGATTTCCAAAGCATCAGTAAATACAGGTGAGCGACACAGGCTCTTGAGAGCCTCTAGTTTACAATATAATAGCTTGTCGTAACTTACTCCCTCTTGCGGTGATTGCCTTCATAAATCTCTTAGCTTTATCAAAGTTTACCAGTGAACCTTCCAACATTGTATTGTCTGCTAACCAATCAAACCTGTTGTCGAAGAACAAAATGTTCAGTCTGTCTTCTGGTTTCATATCACTCAAGATTACTGCCATTGCATTTTTCAGTTGCTCAATTTTACGTCCCGACATAGATCCACTTCTGTCTAGGACAAACATTACGTCCTTGGGGAGTGGTTCTAGATCCTTAGGGGCAAATAAATGAACGAAATATCCATTGACAATCTGAAAATATTTAGTTTGCTATTTTTAAGATATAACAATATACATGTATATATAAAATAAAGTTATTAAGTAAAGCCTGGACTGATATGATATCAATTCTTATGACAGGTTTATATACTGTTCTGTTGGTTTCATTTCGCTTAATTATTCCAATTATTGGCCTTCAAAACTTTTGAAAGGGTTTGCGTTAGTATCGGTATATAAACTCTGCAAAAAACACACCCATAAGTTTTTTTTCAAATTGTATTCTGTTTACTTCAAAGCGATTTAACAGGAATGTTTTGGTATCTTGAGCTCAAATTTCACACATAGATGTTATTCATGATACTGAACAAATGTTTGTAAAAACAGTCAAATCCGATAAATATGGTCAATTTCCGGTGACGTTAATGTGACTACCATGTGCGGCTAAATCTCTTTTGTATCTCCTTGGCATGGATCTAATTATATTTTGTTATATCCTATAATTTGCCATAGATATTGCAATGCTTGAATGAGTTTGTCCAATAGTTGCGGTGGGGATGAAGTTCGTCCCAGAGATTGTTAATGGGGTTCAAATCTGGCGTCTTTAAGGGTCATGATAATTGGATATTAACTTTTTTCCGACTTAGGAATCTTCGATTGGCCTGTTAAATCATTTCTTCTGTCGGTCAATGATATTAAGCATATGTGGTCGAAAAACATTCTTTCTATAATATTGAACCGTTAAATTTCTTGGACACGCATTACATTTGTCTAACGTTTGAAGGATATTGCTATCAAAATTATAACGCTTTCACCGCAAAATTTATATGCCGTGACTCATCGCTGAACTAAAATTCGGTGCTAGATCCTTAAAGTACAAAACCTTAATGTAGAACAGTAACAAACACGTGCACGTCTGTGTACCTGTGTCCAAACTGGATTTACATAAGGTCTGTTTGGTCAAATTACTCTTTTGAGAAGCTTGTTATGGACTGTCTAGGTAGAAATTCTCCATAAAACTCGGATACCAGCAGAAGTAGTTGTAGAAGTGACTACTCGATTACGTAGATGGAACATCTGAATAAACCAAACTTGGGTTGGTCTAGCATTTCTAGGGCGACCCGGTTTGATTTTAACCAATTGCATGAAATGTTTCTTACAAAGGCCAGATAAAGTACGAAGTTGGAGAGCATTCAAGACTAAAAATTCCGAAGGATTTTGCCAAAAACAGCTAAGGTAATCTATTCCTCAGGTAGAATATTCTAAGTATTTCGAAAAATTTAAAGTTGTGTAAACAGTAAATTTATAATTATGACCATATCAATGATAATTCATGTCAACACAGGAGGCTGACTACTGGGCTAGTGATACCCTCTGGGAGGGGGGGACTGGCGATACCCCCGCCCCGGAGGAAAAGGAGGGGGGGGGTGTCATAGATACCAGAAATAAAACCTGTAATCCACACGCACGTTTTTGTACACGAAAGTCTCATCAGTGACGCTCGAATCATAAAAGTTACCAAAAAAAAAAAAAAAAAATCAGAGTGTTTTTTTAATAATTTATTGTTAATCTATATAAATAAGATAATGTCTCGTTTACATCTACCAACTCTTTCATTCTTAAATGTATTTGATAAATTATAGGTTTAAGTCATTTTCTTCAAAAATTGGGTAACCTATTTATTAGGAAAGTGATATATTCATTATATATCTTGTCATCTCCGTTCAACGGTTCCACTAATATTGCAATTTATAACATTTACAATACGAACATTCTCTTTTAAAGTATATCCCCCGTCATAAAGGAAGTTTCATTATAATGAGGCAATACCATGGAATAGGAACACCAATCATATATGAACCTGAGCATTACTCAAGCACCACGGGGATCGAAGTGACATGTTTATGTCAAATAATTTCGCTAGTCCGTTTTTTTTTCTAGTAGGCGTCATTTGTCTATGTATTGAGATTTCTTTGAACCTGAAAATAAAAATACGCAATACAATTTAAAACCTCAATTAAATCAGTTATATATATATATATATTATGTTATTATGAAATTGTATAACAAATGCATATAATGAATTTACCAGAATATCTCCTGCATCTTTGTCCCTGGAAACGTCATATTTCACTTTGAACTGTCCTGATATGCCTTGCTCTGACATAGCCTTTTGTTCCTCAAGACTTGGTGAATATCTTATGTCGTACCTCAAAGGAGAGATGCGTTTAATATTCACAAATTTACTTATATCTGAAACAAAAAAGAATATTTGACAAAATGAAAAAGGTATTTAAATAACATGATATTTGATACATACAGAAAGCAGTAATGAGGAGTAAAAAAATCCCGCATGTAATTTTGCTGGATTTATTTAAAATAATTTTAAGTTTTTGTTAGGTTCTTCCTGCCTGAACCAAAAGACATTTGTGTTTTATGTGAAATCATATGTCAGTTTGCCAACATTTTCAACAACTGTATAAAATTGAACGCAGTATCTTTCTAGCAATCATTCGCTACACGCTCGAATATTTTATTTATACCCAAGCTCTTTAAATTGCAAATCAATATTGAAATAGTTTGGGTATATTAACTGAAGAGTAACCTTTTGTTGTTTATGTGAGTGATGAATTTTCTTTACTTTTAGACAGCAAAAATTATTCTTCGTCACAAATGTAAATATACACCAGATTTACACATCTATTTTCAACACAAGACAGATTTTTACTGAACAATTATCTATACGCTACGCTCTCTGTTAAGTCAGCTGTTGTGAAAATAGAATCAAACAAAAACATTAAAGTGACCAAACATTGCATCTTTTGTCATATATTCCTTTCAGGGGCGGTGTCAGGCGGGGGCGTGGCGGGCGTGCGCCCCCCCCCCCCTAAAATTTGCAAAGCATGGGTTGTCCTCAGCTTAATAAAGAATATATCGGTAATTTAACCTCAATAAAAATTTCGAAAATTTAAGTTTGCGCCTCCCCCACCCCCCCCCCTCCCCCCCCCCCCAACCTAAAATCCTGGATCCGCCCCTGCCTTTTCGGAAAAAGTAACAGCTATGTTTGATTGCAATTGGTTAGACATTTCATTAACGGGTCATTAATGTCTCGTATTCTTTAAAAAAATGTAATATCTTGCTGTTTAATTAAGACCCCGTTCACACTAGCATTTTTTTCATCGATCTAATTTGAATCGATCTAAATAAAACCAGTAAGGGTTCACATTATCTTTAATCACAACGATCTGTATCGGTCTAATCTGAACCACTGCGTTCACACTACAGTTAAAATGCAATCGATCTGACCTTATTACCCGTAAAACTGTAAACATTGTGTATAAATAGAAATAATTAATCAAATTTATGTGTTGGTACACTGAAACCGTGACACTCTTTAAAAAAATGGATGACGTTATTGTTTCTCTTGAATCACAAGTTCAAATTTTGATACCGGTGTTCTTGTAGTTTTCATTTATTTTGAAACAAAAAACTGTAGCAAGGAAGAAATGCTCCGGTTCTGAAAAAAAAACCAACAAAAAAACCAACAAAAACAACAGAAGAAAAGAAGACACACAAATTTATGGTACGGCGAAGACAACTTTTTTCCGTTTGTTTTTACTTGCATGTACACAAAGGTCGATCTGTTTTTAAACAGAGAAATATTGGTTAAACAACGAATCACCGATATATATACTGGGGTGTTATGTAATTACACTTGTAGTTTTGTCGCTAAACATGCGCATAGATTATTTTCGATTCAATCGTACTAGTTTAAATCAGTATTTGCGTTCACATTTAAAGTTAGATCGGTTCACTTTAGATCGATTCAAACTAAACTACCTCTTTTGGTGTTTTAGTTTAGACCGATTGAAGATCGATTCAAAGCGTTCACATTAGCCCTTAAACCGATCTAAAGTGAACCGATCTAGTTTAAATCGATATAAATGTCCTAGTGTGAACGGGTTCTAACTCTAACTGGCTTACCTATTTCAGTGTTGCCCTCTAATGGTGGGACTGATAAATTTACAATGTCTCTGGATTCACTTATTAATACTTTTATTCTAAAATCTTCTATCGGTTGACCAGAATCAACATAAATCACGTGATGATATGATCCAAGGGTTCGTCTCAGCAATTCTTGATATTTAAGTTTGAACACGACCAATGCATTTTTCTGGATGTTAACGAGAATGTTAAACTTGTTTGAAGTTCTTGGACTGTAATGAGAGTATAAGTCGTGATGACAACCTCTGCTTTTTTATTTGATAAATTAATTTAAACATAAATTTTACTTTTCTTTTGTAAAAAAGCTTTTGTTTCGTTTTTTTTTTTTTTTTTTTTTTTTTTATCTTTTTCTAGACTCGTTCTCTCGTCAAAATTTATATTCAAATACGATGAAAATGTCTGTGTTCGATTTTGAAAAAAATAGAAATTGCGATTGTTAACCGATTCAGGACTTTTTAACTAGTTAACTGCAAACTTTATCTGTTTGAGAATATACTAACACGTGAGGAAGATAAAATTATTACAATGAACAAACACATGTGTGTCAAAAAGATTAAAAAATAAACGGCAATTTTTAACTTTTACTAAAATACTAAAAAACGTCTCATTATATTTAACGTTGTTATGCTCCGGAACTTTTTATATATTTTGCTTTCATACAATGTACTGTACTTATTTTGCAGCTCGGCTTTTCAAAAAGAATTCGGCAAACTCGATATAATATATTCTACTGACTTTAAATGGCTGCACTAGACAAAGAACATGCGTTTACCGTTAAAATAAGATTTCCTACTGTCCACGTGTACCTCCTTTCTTGTTCATTTATTCATGTACTTTTCACTCTTTTTTGTCTCATTATTGTCTCGCTTTCATCAGTTGGTTCAGTTATGCTAAACGTTATTCATAAGAATTATAATTCAAGCAATATTACCCATTATTGAATATGAAGAAAGGCAACTCTTATATTATTTATCCTTACGTCAACCATGTGTAGTCAATGTCAATTGAGAATCCTTCTGTAGCAACAAAACATACGTTTAGCATATGTAGTTGATAGTGGTGTTTAATGTCACTTTCAGCACATTTTGCTATTTCGTGGCGTTCAGTTTTTATTGGTGGTGGAAGCCAGAGTGACCGGAGAGAACCACCGACATTCGGCAGAAAAACTGACAAACATTGTCAATTAAGACTGGAGTCGAGTACACTATCCACGCGTGCGGGTTCGAACTCCAAACCTCAGTGTTGACAGGCTAGTGATACTGTAGTTGGACTACTTAGATCATTCGGCCACCGAGAACCCCTCAATACATTAGAAGTACAGTGTATGATAACTGTATTACCCGAATACATGTATATGAACGAAGAAAGACAACAACTTTCATTAATAATTTCCCTTACGAACAATATGTATCCTAATTCACTTTTTTGAGTAAAAAGTATATTAGCATGGGGCTTGTGTAATCTTTATTTATTAAACGATTTAAAATCATGAAATATAATGACATCATGGTTGTGATTTAAAAAATTAATAAATTCGTCGCTTGACGTTAAGTAGTCATCAATCAATGGAATTAAGTTAATATTTTAAACAATTTCAACTTACGCAGCAGCGATGTGTCCAGCACTTTCTCCACGACTCTTTGCTTCTTCGAACTGTTGCTTTGCTTTTTCTTTCTCCTTTACATCTCCAGCATACCTTCTACCTCCAATTTCCCTTCAGACATATTATTATTATTCAAATTATGTTAGTTCTCTTGCTAGTATTATATCACTCGCTAACGATTCCATACATGACTAGTAGGGAGCCATTAGTCAGAGATTATTAATCAAAGTTTTCTTTGGATTTTACTTAAACGAAAATCACTGTACAAATTACGTTGTGTCGACTCTCAATGTAAGACCCAAATTGACAAAGGGCAGGGGTGTTTATGTTTAACATTGACTCAAGACTGACGCAGAGTATCTTGTTAATAACAGAGTTCATCTTGGGCAAAGTTTGAATACCTTTTTTTTCTATTTTAGCAGCAATTAATTTGTGAAGGCAATTCCGATATGATGCTGGTTCTAAAATACATTGTAATCTGGGAGACTACTTCATATCGTTTACTCGTGTCCGTTTGTAGTCGAAGATTTGGTATAAGACAGACATTGCAATACTTATTCGTTTAATTTCTATTTTAATAGAAATGATAAACAAAGCCTTCAAATGTTGAATTAAGCAGTTTCTGTTTATTTATTTGTGTTTTTTTGTGATTAATGGCTACCATACTTTCTGCATGATCCTCTTCATATATATATATTTAAAATATACTTTTTCACTTTTTTAGTCTTTTGGAAAATGTTGTTTGTGCTGTATTTAGACCCGTCTACCAAGAAATTTGTATTGCATGCACACGTATAAAAATTGCGGTTTTTATCCAACGCAATCATAGGTTTGAACGTTGTTTTCAATTTAGACTTGACTGTATATATATAAAAATTGCGGTTTTTATATACAAGTCTAAATTGAAAACAACGTTCAAACCTATGATTGCGTTGGATAAAACCGCAATTTTTATACGTGTGCATGCAAAACAAATTTCTTGTTAGAGGGGTCTAAATACAGCACAAACAACTTTTTCCAAAAGACCAAAAAAGTGAAAAGTATATTTTAACAACACGCATTTGACTAACAGGTCGAACAACAAATGTTCTTAAACCCTGCTGACTGCCATTGGCAATTGCCAAATAAACGGATCACCGATGTAATAAATGGATCTAAATTTTAAATTTAATACTAAATAGAAAACAATAAACTTGCGGAAGAGATGATATACCGCAAACAAAAGGTGCAAAGTTTTTGTACACCATATCCGGATTTCGACAAATAATGTCTCTTCAGTGATGTTAGGAATCGAAACGGTATTTGGAAAGCCCAGTAATTTACCTCAATTTAGGATAGACTCTTGAATTTTGAAGAGTCAAAATAGGATGAACGGATCATATAAACCCGAAGGCAAATATAATACAAGCCCAAACGAAAAAATATAAACAAGTCTAAATTGAAAACAACGTTCAAACCTATGATTGCGTTGGATAAAAACCGCAATTTTTATACGTGTGCATGCAAAACAAATTTCTTGTTAGAGGGGTCTAAATACAGCACAAACAACATTTTCCAAAAGACCAAAAAAGTGAAAAAGTATATTTTAACAACACGCATTTGACTAACAGGTCGAACAACAAATGTTCTTAAACCCTGCTGACTGCCATTGGCGATTGCCGAATAAACGGATCACCGATGTAATAAATGGATCTAAATTTTAAATTTAATACTAAACAGAAAACAATAAACTTGCGGAAGAGATGATATACCGCAAACAAAAGGTGCAAAGTTTTTGTACACCATATCCGGATTTCGACAAATAATATATATATATATAAATTTGATGAGTGACCAAGCACATAAGTCAGTGCATTTCGAAGCAATTTTAAATTCTTAAACCTTCCAAAAAGACAAGATAAAGACAAAAAACAAAGTTATTTCTATGACTCACATTGTAAAGGCTGTTATGAATGCTGCGTCTGGTAAAGTCATGTCAAACAAGACCTCTGAAGCTACAGGATTGATGTTTAGGATCTTAGCCTCAACTACAGTTGTTGCAAATCTAAAGTAGATATCCGATGTAATATGCATCGACTTTATCTCTGGTTTTAAGGCCTGCAACGAGACAAAGGAAGTTTGCGATAAGTGAATATGTGCGATATATGGTAAGCCTCAGCTGTCATATATTAGAGATTTACAAAACGTTATGCTGAAGCTTAAAATGTAAAGTTAAGACAGCGTGATGTTGAGTTGAGTCATCAAAATGCTAACTCTAAATTACAATATGCTAAGTTGAATTTGCGCAATGTTGACTTGCAATGACAAGTGCTTTAGTCGTGATAGTATAATGATAAGTCACGATGTTGTGATGATATGCCAAACACACGTAACGTTGGGTTTAAAGTACATGATGTGAAGTTGACGTTGCATGATGTTAGCTTGCAGATGGATACTGCTCAGTCGTCCACTTCGATAGCTATGATAACAAATAAAATGAATAGCTAAAATGTATGGTGCTGACTTGTTATTAATAAATGTTGAGCTGAGATAGTACGATGTTATATCATTGTGATATTACGATAGGTCTATCATGCAATCTGTTGATTTAAAACACCATGATGCACAGTTGAAAGTACATGATGTTAAGTTAAGATAACATGATGCTACACCACTATATTGAAACGAAAGGCTTACCATACAATTTGTTGACCTAAAACAACACGATACAACGTGTTAAGCTAAGATGCTCACTTGAAACTACACGACGTACAGTTGAAATTTTGTAATGTTAAGCTACGATAGCACGATGTTATATCATTATAATGTCACAATAGGCTTATTATACAATTTGCTCATTTAAAATTACACCACGTACAGCTGAAAGTACGTGATGTTAAGCTAAGATAGAATGTTGTTATATCATAAGAATGTCACGATAGGCTTACCACACGATATGCTCAATTAAAACTACATGATTTTCAGCTGAAACTAGGTGATGTTAAGCTAAGATAGCATGTTGTTATATCATTAGAATGTTATGATAGGCTAACCACACGATATGCTCGTTTAAAACTACACGACGTACAGTTGAAAGTACTTGATGTTGAGCTATGATAGCAATATCTTATATCATAATAATATCACGAAAGCTGCCATACAATATGCTCAATTAAAACTACACGACGTACAGTTGAAAGTACGTGTTGTTCAGCTAACACAGCACGATGTTATATCATCATAATGTCACGATAGGCTTATTATACAATTTGCTCATTTAAAATTACACCACGTACAGCTGAAAGTATGTGATGTTAAGCTAAGATAGCACGTTGTTATATAATTAGAATGTCACGATAGGCTTACCACACGATATGCTCATTTAAAACTACATGATTTTCAGTTGAAACTAGGTGATTCTAAGCTAAGATAGCATGTTGTTATATCATTTGAATGTTACGATAGGCTTACCATACAATATGCTCATTTAAAACTACACAACGTACAGTTGAAAGTATGTGATGTTGAGCTATGATAGAACGATGGTATATCATAATAATATCACGATAGGCTTGCCATACAATATGCTCATTCAAAACTACACGACGTACAGTTGAAAGTACGTGTTGTTGAGCTAAGATAGCACGATGTTATATCATTATGACGTCACGAGAGGCTTATCATACAATGTGTTGACTTGAAACTACACGATGTAAATTTGAAGTAGTTTAGTCTTGACTTGAAACAGTAAAATGTTAAGTTATAAAAACAGAACGTAAAGTCAAAATAAAACAATGATAGGATGACATATACTTGTGCAGAATTGAAGATTTTTGGTGTTGACTTCGAATATAGTACAAATATTAGATCGTTTTATGTTAAATTGAAAGACAATAACGATGCGTAAAACATTACAGAATTATGTGAATTGAAACTGCAATTCTATGGAAAAGAATGAGGGGCAAATCCCCAGGATTTTTTCTTCTTCATTTGCAAGTTCGGAGGCAAAATGATAAACAAAGAAAGTTTTCCATAAATTCATAAAGCAAAAGAATTACCCATCGCTATATATTACACTTGAATACAGTTTTGCCGTATATTTTACATGTTTTGTTTGGATTTATTTTTATGATTAAAAACCATTTTTTTATTTTTATGAACAATATTTAAGAAAATGTTTATCTTTGTTGTGTGTTAATATATACAACATAATATTGTGCTTATAAGATATGAATGTGAGGGTCAAATTTTACTCATATAAAATCACATCTATGTAAGAGTTAGCGGAGAATTTGTATTTACCACTCCCGTTTTATCCGAAATAAAACTAAAGAATCTGGAGTCTTAATCTTAAAAAACAAAGATCAACTGATATGACAAATAATACGCTAAAGCGTCACTGAGGACAGGGTCAGAGCTATATGAGAATGTGACCCCCCCCCGGCCTTGTTAGAGGTATTATTCAAGATAATAACCAAAAGCTGCAAAATTTTCTTAAAATTACCAATTCAGGGGCAGCAACCCAACAATGTGTTGCCTGATTGGTCTGAAAATTTCAGGGCAGATAGATCTTGACCTAATGAACAATTTTACCACCATGTCAGATTTGCTCTAAATGCTTTGGTTTCAGAGATATGAGCCAAAAACTGCATTTTACCCTATGAACTATTTTTTAGCCATGTCGGCCATCTTGGTTCGCGGGCGGGGTCATCGGACACATTTTTTAAACTAGATACCCTAATGATGATTGTGGACAAGTTTGGTTAAATTTGTCTTAGTAGTTTCAGAGGAGAAGATTTTTGTAAAAAATTACAAAAATTTACGAAAAATGGTTAAAAATTGACTATAAAGGGCAATAACTCCTTAAGGGGTCAACTGACAATTTTGGTCAAGTTGACTTATTTGTATATCTTACTTTGTTGAACATTATTGCTGTTTACAGTTTATCTCTATCTATAATAATATTCAAGATAATAACCAAAAACGGCAAAATTTCCTTAAAATTACCAATTCAGGGGCAGCAACCCAACAACGGGTTGCCTGATTGGTAAGAAAATTTCAGGGCAGATAGATCTTGACCTAATGAACAATTTAATACAAATCAGATTTGCTCTAAATGCTTTGGTTTCAGAGATATGAGCCAAAAACTGCATTTTACCCTATGTACTATTTTTTAGCCATGTCGGCCATCTTGGTTCACGGGCGGGGTCATCGGACACATTTTTTAAACAAGATACCCTAATGATGATTGTGGACAAGTTTGGTTAAATTTGTCTTAGTAGTTTCAGAGGAGAAGATTTTTTGTAAAAGATTACAAAAATTTACGAAAAATGGTTAAAAATTAACTATAAAGGGCAATAACTCCTTAAGGGGCCAACTGACAATTTTGGTCAAGTTGACTTATTTGTAGATCTTACTTTGTTGAACATTATTGCTGTTACAGTTTATCTCTATCTATAATAATATTTAAGATGATAACCAAAAACGGCAAAATTTCCTTAAAATTACCAATTCAGGGGCAGCAACCCAACAACAGGTTGTCCGATTCATCTGAAAATTTCAGGGCAGATAGATCTTGACCTAATAAATAATTTTATCCCATGTCAGATTTGCTCTAAATGCTTTGGTTTCAGAGATATAAGCCAAAATCTACATTTTACCCCTATGTTCTATTTTTAGCCATGGCGGCCATCTTGGTTGGTTGGCCGGGTCACCGGACACATTTTTTAAACTAGATACCCCAATGATGATTGTGGCCAAGTATGGTCAAATTTGGCCCAGTAGTTTCAGAGGAGAAGATTTTTGTAAAAGTTTACGGACGACGGACGACGGGGGGGGGGGGTCACATTCTGATATAGCTCTGACCCTCTCAGTCCTACGCTAAGCGTATTATTTGTCATAACAGTTGATCTTTGTTTTTTAAGATTAAAACTCCAGATTCTTATGTTTTATTTCGGGGAAAACGGGAGTGGTAAATACAAATTCTCCGCTAACTCTTACATAGATGTGATTTTATATGAGTAAAATTTGACCCTCACAGTCATAAGTCTTATAAGCACAATAATATGTTGTATAATATGTTAACACACAACATAGATAAACATTTTCTTAAATATTGTTCATAAAAAAGAGTCTGGTTTTAATCATAAAAAAAATCCGAACAAAACATGTAAAATATACGGCAAAACTGTATTCAAGTGTAATATATAGCGATGGGTAATTCTTTTGCTTTATGAATTTATGGAAAACTTTCTTTGTATATCATTTTGCCTCCGAACTTGCAAATGAAGAAGACAAAATCCTGGGGATTTGTCCCTCATTCTTTTCCATAGAATTGCAGTTTCAATTCACATAATTCTGTAATGTTTTACGCATCGTTATTGTCTTTCAATTTAACATAAAACGATCTAATATTTGTACTATATTCGAAGTCAACACCAAAAATCTTCAATTCTGCACAAGTATATGTCATCCTATCATTGTTTTATTTTGACTTTACGTTCTGTTTTTATAACTTAATATTTTACTGTTTCAAGTCAAGACTAAACTACTTCAAATTTACATCGTGTAGTTTCAAGTCAACACATTGTATGATAAGCCTCTCGTGACGTCATAATGATATAACATTGTGCTATCTTAGCTCAACAACACGTACTTTCAACTGTACGTTGTGTGTAGTTTTAAATGAGCATATTGTATGGTAAGCCTATCGTGACATTCAAATGATATAACAACATGCTATCTTAGCTTAGAATCACCTAGTTTCAACTGAAAATCATGTAGTTTTGCGTATTGTTATGCGTTTACTTTTCTACATTGGCTAGAGGTATAGGGGGAGGGTTGAGATCTCATAAACATGTTTAACCCCGCCGCATTTTTGCGCCTGTCCCAAGTCAGGAGCCTCTAGCCTTTGTTAGTCTTGTATTATTTTTAATTTTAGTTTCTTGTGTACAATTTGGAGTTTAGTATGGCGTTCATTATCACTGAACTAGTATATATATTTGTTTAGGGGCCAGCTGAAGGACGCCTCCGGGTGCGGGAATTTCTCGCTGCATTGAAGACCTGTTGGTGGCCTTCTGCTGTTGTCTGTTCTGTGGTCGGGTTGTTGTCTCTTTGACACATTCCCCATTTCCATTCTCAATTTTATTAAATGAGCATATCGTGTGGTAAGCCTATCGTGACATTCTAATTATATAACAACGTGCTATCTTAGCTTAACATCACATACTTTCAGCTGTACGTGGTGTAATTTTAAATGAGCAAATTGTATAATAAGCCTATCGTGACATTATGATGATATAACATCGTGCTGTCTTAGCTGAACAACACGTACTTTCGACTGTACGTCGTGTAGTTTTAAATGAGCATATTGTATGGCAAGCCTATCGTGATATTATTATGATACAAGATATTGCTATCACAGCTCAACATCAAGTACTTTCAACTGTACGTCGTGTAGTTTTAAACGAGCATATCGTGTGGTTAGCCTATCATGACATTCTAATGATATAACAACATGCTATCTTAGCTTAACATCACTTAGTTTCAGCTGAAAATCATGTAGTTTTAAATGAGCATATCGTGTGGTAAGCCTATCGTGAAATTCTTATGATATAACAACGTTCTATCTTAGCTTAACATCACGTACTTTCAGCTGTACGAGGTGTAATTTTAAATGAGCAAATTGTATAATAAGCCTATTGTGACATTATAATGATATAACATCGTGCTATCGTAGCTTAACATTACAAAATTTCAACTGTACGTCGTGTAGTTTCAAGTGAGCATCTTAGCTTAACACGTTGTATCGTGTTGTTTTAGGTCAACAAATTGTATGGTAAGCCTTTCGTTTCAATATAGTGGTGTAGCATCATGTTATCTTAACTTAACATCATGTACTTTCAACTGTGCATCATGGTGTTTTAAATCAACAGATTGCATGATAGACCTATCGTAATATCACAATGATATAACATCGTACTATCTCAGCTCAACATTTATTAATAACAAGTCAGTATAACCGGGCGTTTTCCGTGTTATAGTAATTCAAAGACGGAATACCAATACTTTAAACTTTATTAGCAAGGTCCGGACAGTACCAGACCTAAGACCTAAACTGACTACAAAATAACATACAAAAGCATATATAGAAAACAGTTACTATAGCAAAGGATTAGTGTCCAAAGGATTAAGTTGTCATCGTCAGAGTGATTTCCATTACGACAAACATATATTTAACAATAGAATTAATTAAACACAAAGAAATGTAAAAGGTTTGATAAACGGATTAATAAATTGTCACTATAGCACTTAAAATATATTGTCGGAATTAGCTTTATTTCTATTTCACATTTGTCCAAATCTTCCTGGTTATATTCGCCACTACTCCACCTAAACTCGGTCTCCGAGTTTGCCGAATGAATTTTGTTATCGTCGTGGGTATCCTCCTCCTCGCCGATGACGTTGCTGCGAATTGCCACGCGAGCAAATTGCAAGGGTCGAACGCACATCTCGGTTTGAATGTTTTATATCTAGATGTTGAATCTCGTGTCTACTGTTTACGTTCTCTTCCTTAAGTCTCTGAATTTCGTCTTCCATATCATTTAAGATGCGATTGTACTGCATGTCAGAATTTTTGAACTCCATTGTTAAGCGTTGTCTGGTGTTCGTTAAATTTAGGTTTTCCTCTTTCAGTTGAACTATTACTCTTTCCAAATGTTCATTTCTATCTGTATAACAACTTATTTCTTTTTCAAAATTTTTAGTTCGACTTGTATGTTCGGCTAATTCATGTTCGATCTTTTGAATTATCCGGCCATGTTCTAAACGTTCCAAATTTAATTTGTCCAAACTGTCACTCAACATTACATTATCTTTCACTACGGTATCCAATTTAGAATTTTCACACTTCAGCACAGCGATTTTTTTGATGAAGTTTCGGTTAGACACTTTCAATTTGTTAATGTGTAGTTTCGCGGATTCGTCCTGTATGGAGCACGTAAAAGCGGAGAGTTCCTTGTCCTCGAGTTCTTGAAACGGAAATTGAGACATTTGTTTCTTCTCAATAAACGTTCTCATTCGGTCGCTGTCTCTTTGAATTTTTGACTTTGATTTCTTCTTCGATTTTGGGTTATCACACGACTTAACGTGAAAACTACACATACGGGCAAAATGTCCATGATGTCTGCACTTGTAACAATAAGCGTTAGCTGCATAACACCGATGGTAGGTGAAAACGTTCAATGTCTTACCGCAATATTTGCACAAAAAGTCCAAATAGGTATCTGCTTTTCTCATCGGAAACTGATGTCCATTTCTGCAAGGCTGGTAATTCCAGGTTGCTTCCATATAGTTGCTTCTAGAGGTATTCATTACTAGTTTGGGGGAACTACCTCAAGATCGTGCCCGGGTCCTCCACCAATATATAACCGGGCGTTTTCCGTGTTATAGTAATTCAAAGACGGAATACCAATACTTTAAACTTTATTAGCAAGGTCCGGACAGTACCAGACCTAAGACCTAAACTGACTACAAAATAACATACAAAAGCATATATAGAAAACAGTTACTATAGCAAAGGATTAGTGTCCAAAGGATTAAGTTGTCATCGTCAGAGTGATTTCCATTACGACAAACATATATTTAACAATAGAATTAATTAAACACAAAGAAATGTAAAAGGTTTGATAAACGGATTAATAAATTGTCACTATAGCACTTAAAATATATTGTCGGAATTAGCTTTATTTCTATTTCACATTTGTCCAAATCTTCCTGGTTATATCAGCACCATACATTTTAGCTATTCATTTTATTTGTTATCATAGCTATCGAAGTGGACGACTGAGCAGTATCCATCTGCAAGCTAACATCATGCAACGTCAACTTCACATCATGTACTTTAAACCCAACGTTACGTGTGTTTGGCATATCATCACAACATCGTGACTTATCATTATACTATCACGACTAAAGCACTTGTCATTGCAAGTCAACATTGCGCAAATTCAACTTAGCATATTGTAATTTAGAGTTAGCATTTTGATGACTCAATTCAACATCACGCTGTCTAAACTTTACATTTTAAGCTTCAGCATAACGTTTTGTAAATCTCTAATATATGACAGCTGAGGCTTTCCATACGATAAGTGAAAATATATATTGTATACCTTTTGTCGATATTTAAGCTGCATGAATTTTTGGCAGTATATTAATAAATATTTTACTGTAACTTTTCACTTTAAGAATGGATCAAAACAATCTCAACTTACTGTCCAATATTGCAAAATGAAATTTGAATAATTAAATTAAAATTAAAATGTATTACCGTAAATGTTTCATTAGTTCCATGTTATCTATCTCAGATAACCATCATCAATTGTTGTTTTTTTATTTTACCATTTACGAGATACCTTATATGGATCATATTAGCTTGTAGAGACTAACGTTTTCTTACTACAATTCCACGTACTGGGCCATAGTTATAAATTTTGTTGCTGATAAAATTAAAGTTCATTTTGTCTGTAAGAATAGGGTCCACGTCGTCTGGAGTTAGAACTGGTTTACGAAATCTTGCATTATCGATGAACTCTCGCAGGGACGTCCAATTCTCAACCTCAGTGGTCTGCGGATGAACGTTTCGTACAAGTAGAAAAACCTTACATTAATGCTCTCCCTTTTGAAGATAGAGGCGCCCTTCTTTGTAATCTTGAGGGAAGCGAGCAGCAGCACTGAGGGTTTGGGATGCTGAGAAAAACGAATAAAAACCATTAAAAACTTACCTGTGAAATCACAAAATGTTCAAGTATTACAAGTAACAAAGTAAGCATCACATAATGAAACTTTAACAGCTCTGTTGTCATCGTGATCATTTGTCACTTTATGGCATACATGTAATTATTTCACGTCTGCAAATAATTTGAAGTGATGTATTTCTGAGCAGTTTTATAATCACTTCTTTTAAGCTCATCTAATACGTCTTTGTGGCATACTAATATTTCCTGGTCAAACAGCATGTTACTTCATATTTACATAATAATTTCAGGGATTTCTAAACAAATTATTTCCATGCAACATCATATTATTGTTTGTTCAATAATGTGAAATAATCTGTTAATTATGTCTTTCATATATTGTATATAAATAAAGAAATAATGTGAGTTTTTTCGTTTCAATATTGCGAGGTTATATTTAAGTTGAAATAAAAAATAAAGCATTTAATCTCACCATTATAAAGAGAAATAGAAGTAAATGGTGTGCATTTATATGTATGATTTAATCGTTATATAATGATTGAATGCGATTTTAAATATTTTTACTAGTGAATGAATGTAAATTTACTTCAACCATTTACTAAATTCTTACATAGATAATATGATTTGGTTTGGACGTGTGACTGTCCCTTTGGAATTCTTCTTACAAATGAGATATAACAATACACATCACGAAGTTTTCAGTAATGGTGTTTATTAAGCACGTAATTATAGGTACGATCCATGTAAAATCATTGATTCTTTGAATAAACTTATTACTAAGGGATATCAATTTAACACCGTTGTAAGATCTTTGAATAGTGTCTTTGATTTTGTTTTTGATAAATTAAAACATGACTAAAAATGTATTGATATATACAGTTATCAAAACTTGTGGTCCTACATCCTTTCAATATTATGTACTTATAAATATTTCGCCATTGCACAAGGTCGTGCATTCCTCTAACTTTTAATGAGATTGAATGAGATTGAGTGTCCCTTTGGTATCTTTCGCCTCTCCTTCACACTTAAATCTCACTGTTTGATGTGAACTGAATGATACTTTAGTCTGGGAGAACATGATTTATTTATTTGTTATTGGCTTTGAACTTGCTTTCAGTAACTGCTAGTATTCTTAGATCGATTATATGTGTCTTTGTAGTGTAGTTAGGTTTTTTTTTTTTTTTTTTTTTTTTTTTTTTTTTTTTTAGCTTAGTAGAAAACTAATGAGTCAATCCATTTCCAAACGGTGTTTACGGTTTGTTCTTGTGTTGTGCTGTTACACCGCTGTTCTAGGTAAGGAAAGGGTTGAGTAATCATAAACATTTTTTTAAATACTCCGTATATGTACACCTGTCCTATGTAAGGAGTCTGTAGATTGATGGTTTTCGTTAGTTGCTGTCTACAATTCTTTATTTTTCGTTTGTTGTTTCGTCCTAAATCAGACCGTTGTGTTTTTCCTTTTAATTGATTCACATTTTTCATGTCGGGACCTTTTATATATGACTATACAGTATGGGTTAAGCTCATTGTTGAAGGTCGTATGGACCTATGATTTCTAAAATCCACGCTTTTTTTTTACTCTGGTGGACAGTTGTCTCATTGGCAATTATTCCACATCTAATTTAAAATGACAGAATACAAAAGTAAAATTGCACATAAGAACGCAAAATATGAACGTTGTTTTACATGTATACTAAAAACTACGAAGAAGCGAGTGTATAATACTGTTTTATCCGCCCATCATTTCATTTGGTTTCCACATTTTAAATCAATTACTTTATATCGAAATGCAAGAACAACTTTCTCATATGAGAAGAAGATTGATACGGATTTTGTTGTCACTAAATCTAAGTTCTCAGTAACTATAAATAGACCGAAATTAATGCAGCCGGAAAGGAGTTTCCGGATTATAACTCTAAATCCTTACAAAAGATTATCCGATTTGAGATTGGTTGTTACTTGCTTGCATTTTTTTTTATTGCAAGTTGAGGACCAATCTCCGGCGCAGAGTTCATATCCGTTCCGTGCATGCTCCGCAATACTACACTTAATATGACCTCGTCATATTGAGTGTAGTGTTACGTAGTATTGAACGGAACGGATATGATCTCTGCGCCGGAGATTGGTTGAGGACGAGAAAAACTAACAATTAGTAGAAATATATTTTAGTAGAAAAGGTTATGCAAGGTCGGCTGATTGGAATTGAAGGCAGGAAATGCACTGGAAATGAGGCTATAGAAATTAAGACTATTAACATGACAATAAAGGACCATCAAAAGAGATTCTTTAACGTGCAGAGTACGTAGCATTCGGCCTTCAAAAGACTTCGGAGTTAACGTCACCAATCGAACGAGACTGCGTATTTATACATCCAACACAACCAAGTGGACGCCCCACTTTAGAAAGGTTTCTTTTTTACTGTCGTAACGGAAGAAGTCAATGTGACCTTATTTCTTTACCCAAGTCCACCCTTGAGGTTCCATTTGAGATCATTGCGTGGCAAAGACATACACTTAGTTACTTACAGACTTAAATGAGTTCAGAAAACGGGTTTCAGGATAATAATCTATAACCGTAAATGGGATTGCAATGAAACAGTACTAGTAAGTGCTGCACACATCCTTCTGAATGTTTTAAATTGTATCACCACTAGTTGTTGCAGGGTTGAGAGCTCAAAAACATATCAAATTATTTTCAAGTTTGTCGAAATCCAGGACACTCGTATCTAGTGGTTGTATTATATTGCTGTCTGTCCTATTTCTATTCTGTTTATATATTATTCGTTTCACCTTTCGTCATTCTGTGACAACCTTGATTTGACCTTTTGGAATTATTTACAATGCCTAGAATATTGCAATGTAACTTTTTAAACCATACACTATTTTTTCATGTTTAAGAAATCTTTTGCAGTATTAATCACCATTTTGTAATAATAGTCTTTTAGAAGCAATACTGATCTCTGTCTTAAAAAGACGACATTTTTATCATTCCTCAAAGCTCGATTAAACTTGTCACAACTGCAATATCAATAGGTATATGTTATAAGAATTATTAATTCTGAAAAAGATGAAAATTTTCAAAAGATTGTACATCAAGAATACGCTGTCAAAACAGTATTAAATTTTCCTGTTTGAATTGTTTTACACTAGTCATTTTAGGACCCTTTATAGCTTGCTGTTCGGTGTGAGCATAGGCTCCGTGGTGAAGGCCGTACTTTGACCTATAATTGTTAACTTTTTATACATTGTGACTTGGTTGGGGAGTTGTCTCATTGGCATTCATACCACATCTCCTTATTTATATTAAAGAATAAATATTACGAACATTTAGAAATATTTTCTTAAAACTAAACTTTCAAAATAAGTTAAAACGGTTAGCTCCAAAGTTGGATTTAACAGCTATTGTGATTTAACTTTTTTATATGCTTTGTTAACAAATGATTCTCACTATTGTATTATAAGTATAAACTGTCGATCTCATTGTTTTTATATTAACAAAAGGAGACATCTTTTGAAGACTTTTTAAATTTACATTTCCTTCCATCTCTTTGTTTTACGATCTTTGAAATACTAAGATACAATGTTAAAGCGGTACAGCGAGGAGATGTTAAGTAGATAAAACCACACAATGAAATGTTGGTACTGCAATTTCCTTGCATTAAAAAGTAAATTATATTCGTTCACATACATCTTTAAACGACATACTAAATTTCAATGGAATCCTAAGAGGTAAGGATGTGAAGTATATTTTCCATGGTATAAAATGACTTACCCCAACCCTGAATGATACACCGTCATCATTACAGTATCATACAAGCTCGCTTTTTACTTTCATCCATAACTAGTATCAAGGGATGTGGTGTGTTTGCCAAACAGACAACTATTCACCAAAGACAAAGGGACAAAGATGCTATAGGTCATCGTGGACTACGGCCTTCCGAAATGAACAAAGGCAATGTCGTATAGTAAGCCAAAGAAGCCGCAGTGATAAAAATGTGAAGCAATCTAAAAGAGAAAACCATCAGTCTGATTTAAGTTAATGACTTAAAAATGAATAACACTTATGGAAACCAACGAAAACCACTGCAACAAATATTCCTTGTTTGTGACATACATATAAAGAAAGTGGCGAAGTTTTGGAATGCCCAACCATTCCCCATATCCCTGGAAAACCTGTGTAACAGTGCGCATCAAACGAAACTGTAAAATGATTGAAAGGGATTTACTCGTCAGATCCATATTTAACACACACACACACACACACACACAGACACTAACAAAACGACAAAAGATACAAAGTACCGATCTAAGGGTACTAGCAGTTTATCGAAGTTAATTCAAAGCCCAATTTCTACTACTATAATAGATCATGTTCCCCAGACTGATATATCGATCAGCAAACAAACCAAGCAATACACGAGTTTCTTTAACAACATTGATGGAATAAAAATAGACAGTTTTTATTGTAGTGACATAGGTAATAACAGTTTAGTTTAACAAAATACAAATATATTACATAAACAATAAAATAAACCCGACCTATTGGGTCTATAAGTCACTTTCAAAATCATAAAACGTACGTATTTCTTTTATCACGGATGTCAAAAAAAATAACGAAAAAGATTTAGCTAGATTTAAAATAATTAATTCATAATGAAAAATTGAAAAATAAATAAAAATGAAATAATGATATATAATATGTTTCTGAACTATTTTACAGTATTCCTTTGATCCCATCACTACCATGAAATTTGGACACAGTTAGTTTTGTATTTCTAATCTACTTGAGCGATCATTCATAATGAATTAACAGCTGGCACGGCCTTCACTTTACATCGAGAGAAATCATTGTTTAAGTATAAGTAACGTTGGTCAAGTCTATATATGGCAATCAGATCGTGAAAGATCTAGTTTCGGAGCGTGAAAGACATTTTATCGAGAAGACACGTGCAAGATCAGTTCAATTTATCAAATTATAAAGACAAATTTTGGAGACAAATAAAGATGTCTGTAGATATATGATCATTATCTGATATAAATCAACATTCAAACATTCACCGAAACAGTAAAGAGAGAGAAAGATATAGAGAGTAAAAATACCAAAATTAAAAAAAAAAAGAAATAATGTAGTCTCCCCCTTTCCCCTAACAACCTTTTTTCCATAAATGATCGACAACAAAGTCAAAACTTAT